GTAAAACGCACGTAGAAAAAATGTTTGCCATTGGAAATTTTTTGACGGATTACCAACAAAAAATTGCACCTTTAACAAATGAATAAAGTCCAGTCATCATTTCTTGGAAAGGAAAACTCTGATAAAAATTCTGCTGGAAATTTTTGGAGAATCTCTAATTAAAATTCTAAGACATTTTTGTCAAAAAGATAATTTTTTCCCATAACAAAGATTTTTAATGGAACTTTTCATGTGGCTCATACTCTCAATGTGAGGTCCAAAACTAGTATCGTAACACAAATGCTCTATGATATAAGTTTAACCCCCTCACTATGTATAAGGTATGCTTGAATTTTATGCTTTTGAGTAAGAACACTAACATCCCATTTGATAAAAATAAAAATAGTTGACATGCCATGTGAATATAATATCCAAGTCCCTTAACAATTGTTGACATGCCATGTGAATAAAAATAGTTGGCATGCTATTACTGGCGGCTTAACGTAGCAAAATCACCGGTTCGGCCGTCGTTAAAAGCCGACGGCCAGACCGCCGGCCATGCCGCCGGTAAAACCGGCGGTCCATAAACCGCCGGTTAGAACCGCCGGTATTGGGCATTTTTCCTGTAGTGCAAGTTCATATGTCATTGACTTTATTAATAGTAACAACCTATTATATATCCATGATCTCTGACTTCAGATATCCATATATATATATATATATATATATATATATATATATAGTTGACCACGCTTCCCAAGCTGCCCACTAGCATTGCCCAGACACTTGATCACCAACCCTCCCCACATTACACGGCCGCCTGGCCGCCCACCCCGCTACCCGTACACTTGACTACCAGCCCACCCTGCGCTACCTGATCGCCTATTGGCGTCCTTCCCGCGCTTCCTAAGCAGACTGGACGCCTGCCGGTGCCTGTTCCACGCTGCCCGGCTGCCTGCCTGCCCGCGCTGTAGCGCTTGTGAGATTCAAACTCAACACCTATGGGATTTCAAGTACACAACTACTTTATTGTGGAATAAAATGTATCATTAAGCAAATTCTTTTATGTTTAAATAGAATAATTTATAAATAAAAATTTTAAATAAATTAAAATAAAATCTTTAAATGAATAAATAATTAAAATAAGTTAATTATTAATTTAACAACTTATTTTAACTATTTAAGTTAATAACTCATTTAAATGATCATTTAAGTTAATTATTAATTTAATATCTTGTTTAAGATAAATTAAAATTTGAATATCTAAAATAAGTTATTTAATTAACAATCAATTAAATTAATTTATCAAATTAATAATATATTAAAATAAGCTATAAAGTTATGAATATATAATTTTTTTGAAACTCCCAGAAAATCTGTCAAAATTTTGCCAGAAATCCAGGTCGAAAAATTGTCAGAAATATTTCATCGTAATCCATCGAAATTCTGTCAGAAAGTTTGCTGGAAAATAGTATGTCAGAAATCCGCCATAAAACCATTCGGTAATGATCAATTTTCCTGTTGTGATAAAAATTATTTTGCATGTAATGCTCTCTCTAACAAAATGATGGATATTAAATATAATTTATGTGCAACCTAAATATAACTACAATGCATTTTTAACAAAATCTAACGAATAAAATCTTTAAATAAGTGAAAATGATTATAGAGATAAAGTTTTACCTTCAAAATATCGAAGAATCAGAGCTAAATAATTTATAAATCATCTTGGATGGCGACTTGAAACAGAGAGGCCGAGAGATGTGTTCAAGAGAGAAAGAAATATGAAATGGAAGAGGGAGGCTGGCTCCAGCTGAAATAAGGCCTTTTTGGCAAAATTTATGATGGATTTTTCCATAATAAATTAAATAGCATTTCCTGCAAAAAAAAAATCATCGAAAATTCCGTGGGGTTAATTAATTGTCAATGGAATTTTCGATGAAATTTTTTTGTCGAAAATTATGTAGGTTCAGTACGATGTCTAAGCATAGAATTTTTTTTTTTTTTGGAAAAAAATGAAGGCTATTGAGGAGCCCCACAAAAAAAAATATTCTTCTTTGGCAGATTTATCAGTTAATCCTTTATATTGAGATAATGATAAATTATACATCCATAACATTTGATTTCAAAAATTCACTTACATTATATTTGTAAAGTAAAAAAAAATATTAGATATAATTTCACCTAACAAAGGTACCATAGTATAAAATATCTATTACAAGAAAAGAGATAATAGTAATCGAAAGTATTGTTAAAATAAATAAATCTATAAAAAAAAAAAGAAACTTTTAACTCAAACTTATTTTTCCTGAGAGAAATTTCACTTAAATCTTGTAATAACCCGAAGATATGATAAAAATTTTGAAACTGAATTGACTTAAAGCGCTTCAGCGCTAGTCAGTGCCGCATCACTAGTTTCAAGAGCACAATGACACCAGAAACTTCTGTTGTGATGTTTGTGTCTCTGTTCTATAGTAACTCTTAATTCAACATGAAGCACTAAAAATATTTTTTAATATATTTTATTATAAATATCTCTACCCCACCTACCTTACTCCCTCACTCTCTTGCTTGGGAACTTTTATTTGGTCCGGTGAACGTATGTAGAGGTACGTTCGGCCGGCACTAAGATCGCATGCACAAAACGAGAAATACCAAGCAAATACCGAGCAATACCAACAATAACGAGAAATACCATTACGTGAAGATAAAATACCAAGTAATACCGAGCAATATCAAGTAATACCAAAAAATACCGATTTTTTTTCTAGAAAAAATCGGTATTTTTTGGGATTACTCGGTATTAATCGGTATTGATCTTCACAGAGCGGTATTTCTAATTATTATCAAACAATACATAGCAATACCGACCAAATACCGAGCAAAAACCGAGTAACAATTCTCTGACCGAACGTAGAGCTAAGTCATATCAGAGGACGTAATAAAAGTTCCTTGCTTGGCCGGTAAAAATGGGAGAAGAAGAAGCGAGACAAGGGAGAGGAAGAAGAGGGAAGGAGGAGAGAGAAAGCATACGTCTAATCATTTTTGTCTACTGTTCATTTAACAAAAAATGTTCCAAGCATTTTAAATAATTGTTCTTTTATTTATGTTTTCAATGATTTTGATGTATATAGATTTCTCTCCTAAATTTGCTAAAAATTATATTTTCTCCTGATTTTATAAGCTTTCACCTTATAATTTTTTATATGTTATAGATTTGAACATTCTGAATGATTTGATATAATTTTATTACATTTTTACATATAAATATATGTATAAAAATTTTAGAGTAAAATGAATAGGATGGATATGCACTTGAATATGATACAACTTGATTGAAACGATGAATTATATCGATATTACTTGTTTAAAAAATGATATACTCATTTATATCAGAGAATCGATATGATAATCTCATATAACATTCTTAAGATCTACGTAGTCCACTGATAGGAGTCATTGGATGAGAGGCATAAGGAGATAGAGACTGATATATAGAGTTATACGAAGATGGAGTGACTGATTTATGTGATTCGAGAAAAGCTATAAGGAGTTCATTGATTGAGAGTTATAAGGGACGATTGACTGAGAGTCATAAAGGCAGGAACAAGATCAAGATCAAGATACCCTCATCTGAACATTTAATAAGATATTGATTACTGATTATTGATATTGATTACTGATTGATTACTCATTACTATTACTGATATTGTAGCTTATAATATACTGATATTATTTTTTTTCAATACCATTACTATTTCTGATCTGACTGTTCACTATTACTAATATTGTGACTGATATTGACACTTATTACTGTTATTGATATGGATACTATTAATGGAATAATTACTGATGATATAATAGACTGAGATATGATGTGTTATGAATTGAACCGTCCATCATAACTTCTGGTATAACCATCCATCATAACTTACTATGGTATTTTTAGCCGACAAATCTACAAAAAATGCCTTTTAATTAATTTATAGTACTTCATCTTAAATTACCGTTAATACTATGCCCATTGGAAATTTTTTTATAGTTTTGGATAATTATCAACTAGTAAGACTTAGACTTCGTTTGAGACGACTTTCTTCTTGTTTTCTGAAGCAGCATTTTAGAACAAAAAATTTTAATATAAGAAAATTTTGGTACTAAAAATTACTATATAAAACAATAAGAAAGCTTTCTCAAACGAAGCCTTAATCTTTTTTATATTAATCTTTATTTATTCTTACGAGTATTTTATTTTATATTTATCAAATATAATAACTCGGTCATTATTAAATCTCTATCTAAACCTTAAAAATTTTTCTTTAAAAGAAAATTTATGAAAATTTTCTCTCTTGTTACTTCTCTATTATGCTTGAAATGTCCTTGCCATTAAAATTCTTAAGGGATAAAATTGAATCTTATAAATTAAATGAAGTATAAAGTTGTCCTCATAATAAATAATACCATCACACAGAATGTTACATTTTATTTAAAAAAAATAAGACATCTTACCTCCTTATTTTCAAAGTCATATGAAAAGATGAATAATATCTTAAAGAGTCATAAAGTGTAGGGAAGATATAATTTTACCATCATTCCCTTTCAACATTTCACATGCAAGAAAAGTACATTATATGATGAAATTAATGATGAGGAACATATTTTCTACTAATTTATCTCTCTCCATATACTAAAGATATAAATTTTTTTAATCAGTGGTAAACTCGGGTTAATTTTATTAGGAGTTTTGATTATTAATTAAGATATTTTGGATTCAAAATTTATGTATGTGATATATATGAAATTAATTTAATTGACTTGAAAGTCAAAAAAAAAAAAGTCAGTGGTAAAGATAGGTTCCGATAACGCAGGTTGGAGGTGCATCACTTTCTCTCTTGTCCGTCATCACATCCTCATCTCTCTCTCTCTCTCTCTATTTTTATATTTAAAATATCACATTACTTGAGCTACTGAAACTATAGCCTCCTCGCACTTTTTCAAGATAACATACAGATGAACTGAAATAAATCAAATGGTGGCTGACAAGAAGCCAATAGGAAGAACCATTTATACTGTTCATGGAAGCTGAATCTAGCTCTCTTTACAAAATTAAACCACACTTACACCAAAGAAGAAGAAGAAGAAGAAGTGCATAGCAAAAACTTATAAAATTATATCTGACTACTTAATTACTAGGATATGAAGGCTTAGAACCCACCGCCGCAGCCGCCGCTGCCGCTGCCGCTGACCAGACGCCGCCAAACACCTCATTCAAGAGAAGCTTTGGCGCCGGCATGTTATACAGTGGCATTGCTGGTAATTTCTTCTCCAACACGGCCGGCGGCGATGCTCCACCGCAGCCAGCGGAAATCCCACCTCTCACCGGACTCTGTTTCGAATTTTCTAAAGTCGCCGCCGGCGACTCCTCGAGAGGCAGCCTCTCGTATACGGTGTTCCTGCCATAAATCGAATATATATAAAAAGCACCCAAAAATTTTTTTTTTTATTTATTTGTCTAAAGTTCTTGTTAAGTTAAACATAATTAAATGAAGCTCTTTTTTTATTCCTTAATAATTTTTACCTGAAGGTGGCGGCAACAACCATGACCGGACCCGAGGCCACAAGCTCACCGGCGATGCTCCCCCCTACAACTTGCCCCTGTCCTCCAGCAAGAATCACGGTCAGTCCTGTTGCCGCCGGCAGGAAAGATCCGGAGAGAGAAAGAATCTCAAAACGACCTCGTAGCACGATTACGTCGGAGCCGGCAGGTGCTCCAGGCTGCCGGAGAGAGATGTCGGAAACTACGCCGGACGCGCTTAGAACGGATACCCCGCGATTCCGCCGGCGAGCATAAGCGGCGATAGAGCCGATGATGTCTGCTCCTGTTACGATCTCGAATAAGTGGGATCGAAGAGCGTTGGGAGTTTCCCGAGTGAGGATAATAGGTTGCTTTGGCTTGTTTTTGGATCCCGGAGGACGGCCGCGGGAACGGCGGAGGGAGGCGCAGTTTGAGGCGGCGAGCTCGCCGGAGGAAGGAGAAGAGGAGTGCATTTCCGGTTCACAAGGCCACGGTTTAATTTGGAAGCTCCTCTGCTCTTGCTAGCGTTTCTATATTGGCCAATGAAGAATAGTAGATCTAAATAATATGGAATTGTTACTTGTCAGAAAGTGTTAGATCCAAAAGGGATTAAAAAATAGGCCTCAATATATTTTGAAATTCAATTTGAACACGAAAATTAAAGCATGCAAAAAAAAAAAGAGTATTAAATCATTTTTTTAAATAAATTTTATTCCATCAATAAAAATGAGTACAACAAGTATCAGAACGGAATAAAAGCCAGATACAAGGAGAGATAACAATTAGGGAGACCGAGAGGATAAACAAGATAGCAAAGGCCAACGAGATCAGTAATTGACAAAGACTTCCAACCACTTCGTAGTCAGGCACGGGCCATGCATCCAGAGGAGTGAAAGAGCAATACACCGTCAACAAGCCAAATAACCACCAGCACCAAGAGCTCCAAAAAACATTGCCAAAGGTTGCCAATGAACCTCGGATCCAGAGTGGTGAGCCCGAGCCACATCATCGCCCAAATAGAACATATAAAAGCCATAGAGGCAGTAGCAAATAAGTTACCAACAAAGGAAAAAAACGGAAGAACCAAAACAACAACCACCAAAAGCTATTTTTTGGATTTTCACTTTCTACGTTTACCAACCCAAGCATTTCCATCTCGCGCAATATCTTGGTGATCAAAACATTCAACTTCATCAACCTCCGAAGAGGAAGGGGATGAACACTCAAGCCAGTTTATTTGCATCCAGAGGAGTAAAAGAGCAATACACCATCAACAAGCCAAAAAACCACTAGCACCGAGAGCTCCAAAAAACACCGCCAAAGGTTGCCAACGAATCACAGATCCAGAGTGGTGAGCCCGAGTCACATAATCGCCCAAATAGAACATATAAAATCCATAGAGGTAGTAGCAAATAAGTTGCCAACAAAGGAAAAAACGGAAGAACCAAAACAACAACCACCAAAAGCTATTTTTTGGATTTCCGCTTTCTACGTTTACCAACCCAAGCATTTCCATCTCGCACAATATCTTGTTAATCAAAACATTCAACTTCATCAACCTTAGAAGAGGAAGGGGATGAACACTCAAGCCAATTTATTTGCATCCTAACACTCCCTCTCCTCCCCCCCGAGTTGACACCGACATGGGAAACCAAAGCATTGGGTGAAATTAAATTCACAAGAACCTTAACAAGATGGCCAGACAATTGAATAGTAGGTGTCTCCGGGGTAAGAACTGAAGGATCCACATCACGAGCACAAACCTCACCCACCGCACAACAGTCACATCCAAATCATCAGAGTTTAGAGGAAAGACAGTATGAGCCGAGCCAGATGACAGTTCCTGGCCAACTACCCGATTAATCTCACAGGCAACAAAATCTTCTTCCTACAAACTAGCCACAACCAAAGGAGTAGAAACATCCCTAAGAGAAAGATCGGTACGTAAAACACCATCACTCAAGGCCTTAGGACCACCCAAAAAAACTAAGTTTGAAACATCATTATCGATCAAAGGGACAACCATAGCAGGAGACAGGGCAACATGCTTAACAGGCAACAATGCCATGCAAACAGGAGGAACACTATCATGTAAATTAACCACATGAACGGACAAATTACCCACAAAAACATCCATAGGCTTATCAGGTAGAACATCTACAGAAACCGCAGGAGGACCGGGATTAGCAGCTAAATGGAGATGTAAAATCAGACAACCAGCATTAGAATGACCCAAAGCTTTGCAGTGAGAACAGTAAAAAGGAAATTCTTCCATTTCCACCTGTTGAATATAACCCATCTTCTCAGAACCAAGCCACACATGGTCCGGATACCTCTTAGTAATATCTAACTCCACCAGAATGTGGGTGACCGAGGGCCTAGTCCCAGTAGAAGTAGCATTATCGGTACGCAAGGAACGACTGAATAAAGTTCCGAGACCATGAAACACACGAGTGGAGAAAAGGCGTGGACGTAAATTTGAGAAAGAAACCCAAATAGGGATGATTAGGGATTCAACATTGATGTCAAATTGGGGTGAACACTTAAACAACGTAACTTCATATATCAATTGTTAATGAAGTAAGAACGGTGCAAAAAAATGCGAAAGTAGTCTAGGTCATTCATCAGCTTAATCAAAATATTATTCGAGTTAAGCACTATAACAGAAAAATCTCCGTTCAACTTAAGCTGGAAATAAATTTGTGAATTCAATATAGCACCGGACGACGACCAGTAAATTTTCCAACCAATGCAAACTCAAACGGAGCAGCCAAGTCTAACATCTTGTCATCAGAAATTGAAAGCGAAGGAAGACCATTGCAGGAAGTGATTTTGAGATCAGGAAATTCCGGCGGGGAGGAAGACCCTGACAGAGCCTCCCAGAAAACTGGGGTCAATGAGCCGATTAACAGCCATTACCACCAGGAAAATGAACGAGGGAGAGAAAACACAAGAAAACCAGAGAAAAACTATGAAGAGATTACCCATAGTGCGGCTACAGAATGCAGAGGAAGACGGAAAACCCTAGAGCTCTCTACAAAACACATTTTTTCTTTTTGAGTATATATATACACACACAAATTTTTCTTTATATAAAAGGTTTCTAAGTTTTTTTATTTTTAATTTCTCTATAAGAGAAATTATTATTTATTATTTCAAAATAGCTAAGTCGGATCATTCAATTTATTCAATCTATATTTATATTAATAAGTGATAAAATAAATCACAATGAAACTTTAGAGTTCATTAAGATATATATACATAACACCTACGATAATAATTTCGTCTGAAAAAAAAAATATACATAACATCTAAAACTATTGAAAATACATATTTAACACCTAAACTTCTATATTTGCTAATATACCACATAAAACTCATCTTTTAATCAATTCTAACATTCCGTTTAGACCTTTCGTAAAAAACCGCTATCAACAACTGTCTTCCCCGTCAATGACATCCTTCCACAGGAAGTACAAGTATCTCATCGTTTCAATGGAGTGGTAAAATAGAAAGAAAAGGAAATTTTAGGTGGTATATTAGTAAATATAAATGTTTGTTTGTTAAATATGTATTTTCAATAGTTTTACGTGTTATGTATGTAAAAATTCCTATATATATATGCTCAAAATAATTAACAAGGTTGGCGCAACATAATATCTATCTTTATCTGAGATTTTCTTGATTTGATATTTAGTTATTTTTTATTTTTTTATTCAAATAATATTTATTAATTTGAAACAGTATACTGCTTTTCAATCATGTTTGTATCTCTACCTTCCTCTCTCACATCCCATCGATCCTTAATTCATATATGATATATTTATATATTATATATATTATATATATATTATATATACACATTAAATTATAGCATATATTATTAGCAAAATCAGATTAATTAGGAAGATGAGAAATAGTGTGAGGGAATTGAATAGGTAGACAATTACAAAAAGCGTGAAGAAGAAATATATGTCTATATTTGATCTTAAAAAATAATAATAATTTTTTTTTACATGAAAAATCTATGAATGATAGAAAATAGAGGATTGTGCCTAGTTAAATATCTTCACTATTCATAGAAAATTGGCAAAAAGTGATTCTACCTCTCCATAATCGAGGGGGCTTTATAAAAAAATATTTCTTAAGCAATTGATCATAATAGTGATTCTAAGACACAAATATGAGTCTTTGCATATGTTGATTGTATGTTGCTACGATACAAATAAGGATATGACATATAGCTTGCTAATGGTAGTTATTGTTGCAAAAGAGATTTATATGGAATAGGGCCTCATTGAGGATGGATGTGACATATGTATGGTCATAGTAAGTTATATATATCAAATGGTGTGAAATGATAATAAATAATAAATATTTACACAATCAAGGTTGCATCATGGGCTTTGAAGGAGATGCTTGTGACACAAGTATGACTATAAAATATTTGTTGGAAATAGATGCAACACAAGCAAGATTGTGACATAATTCTTGATGGGGATATATGATTATAGTACAAATGAATTTGTAATGGAGGTCTTAATACAATTATGCTTGTAATACAAGTGATGTTATGTCTGATTAGAGATTATTTGCAACACAAATAAAGTTATAATAGATCTTGTAGAAAACATAATGCAACGTAGCAAGGTTGCATCACATGACTTAATATGATACTATCCATAATAAAAATGAGTTTGCAAATGGAATTTTTGAGGAAGAAATTTATGACACATATATTTATGCAATGCCAATCATAACGTAATAATGGTTGTTGAATAAAATGGATTCTAATACATCTTATCAAAGATGTCTTTGGCATAAGTGCTAAGGCTATAAAACATTCATGAGGGAGTAGTTGTAGGGTAAGTGATGTTTGAACAAGACTTGAAGTGATATTACTAATAGGACTTCTTAAGGCATTAGAACTCCTTCAGACTTAAATTTCCTAACCTGTTAATCAAATTGCCAAGGGAATTAAACTCCTCAATTTTTCCACTTGGAAAACTTAGTTACTCTTAAGTATTCTTCAAGAAAGAATTCGAGCTTCTTTTGAACTATGACCTCATTTTTGAATGAGGTAAACTAAAGAATCCTTAAAAATGAAAGGTAAACTAAGAAAATCCTTAAATCTGTAGACTAAACTTCAAACCACTTCAGATCTATTCCAAATTAAATCCAAAAAAGAGAAACTCAAATCAACTCTAAACCCTTCATTTGAAATCACCTTGTCACTTTGACCCTTCACTAGGCTTCGTTTGGGATGACTTTTTACTGCTTCTTGAATCACTTTCTAGTACAAAAAATTTTAATTTTTTTTATTTAATTAAAAAGCTGCTTCAAAGAAGCAATAAAAAAACCATCCAAACGAAGCCTTAGTCTTTTAAAATCATCCAAAATGGTTTCAATAATATGAGAAATCAATTCATATTGATTGGGTCAAAGACCAAAACTAAATCCAAAATCTCAACCAAAACCAAAGCCAAATCCTTAAGTCCATCACCTATTTCATATTTAATATTTTATTTTTAATTTATTTAATTTTTATTATGTATTA